TTATTTTTGCACAGCCAGGGATCGAACCCGAGCTTGCTTGCTTACCGCGCAAGTCTACTGTCATACTTCTGTGACGGTAGTGTGTGGATCAGTGCTCTTACCAGGTGAGCAAGAAACAAGGAGATCCGGGCTAAAATTCCTGATGGATGAGTGTTTTGCCGTACATATTAGCATATATGAGCGTCCTTGTTATAACGTTCTCTTTGCGAACTTCGGCGAAAACAGCAGTTAATAAAAAAAGAAGACAGAACTGTTGTGATAGAGCGAGTTTTTTTTCACATCGGTGACCCTATGTGTGTCATTTATATGGAACGTTGACCCCTATAACAATAAACTCTTATAAATTCGCTGTATTCGATCACTTGAAACTGTTCAGATCTCGAAAAATCCAAAAAAAGAATGCAAAATCCTGAATAACTTTTTTGCGAGAGCGGTTATTTAATTTATTTTTTATTGTATGCTCATTGCTAGCAGCATATCACTGTCTAGAAAAGGTTACATCGTATGTACACGTTTCTTTGGTGGATCCTGTTTGCGTTTGTGCTTCCCAGGTGGCCGGGAGCGCTGTCTATTAACAAAGAAAAGTCTTCAGTCCTTTGTTATGTTTGTGCCGAAGTTAATTTGAAGCGCCCTTTTTTGAAATTGTTGAGAAGAAAAATTGAAACGTTGTTTAGATATATTCCACAAGAAGAGCAGCCGAAATACCAAAACCCAAGCCAAGTAGCAGCATCAAGCCGAGGTCGAGTGGTCGTAGGAATGACCCCACGCAGCATGCAGCAGGCAACTGCAGGACCTCGTAAACCCATAGCAGGTTCGCTAACGAACAATTGATCGGTCATTAGTTTCGCAAATCTTCATCATTACAGCTGTATTTCAACCAAAAGCGGCTATAACACCACAAGAACAAATTCAAAAGAAAATCGACAAAGTAAAATTAAAATTGACGGAAATAGCAAAGCTTGAGGTAAATTGGTACAAAAATGTTAATGAGCAGATGCATACCTAGAAAAAAATAGCGTTTCTCTGAAATGTTTTCTAGGAACGAATAAATAATGGCGAAATTATTCCGTTACCTAACCAACTAGCAAAGGTTGGTCGGAAGACGGAATACGAGAGCGAGATCGAGAAGCTCACGGAAGAAATGGAGAAGTTATAAAGAAACTCGTCGATGGCCATGGCGGTTCTGGTTCACATCAACGTGATTCGCTGGCGCCAGTGTTTGTGGCTGCCCTATTGGTCTCTGCAAAGTCATATATTGTTTAATGAGGTATTTTTATGTTGAAAATCACTTGTGATTTGGAACTTCCAAAAAATTCCCTTTCAAGAGTGGCTTATTGTTCTCAGAAACGTATTTAGCTCACTCCAGTTTCCTCACATTCGAGTGCAAATTAATTTTTGAATGTATTTTGTGTGAGTGTTACGTCGTACCGGTGTTCGGTCTTTTTGTGTTGTAATTACCAAAGAATACAATGATTCTTGAGAGATGTAATAATATTCAGAACAATGCTTTTCAGATTCTAAAGTTCAGAGAGGTATTCTCATAAACTCTCGAAACTCCACCTCGGTTGAATGTAGAAAGCTCATCTCATAACGACCGCATTGTTCTGAGAATGCCCCCTGCTCACTTTTTTAACGCAGTCAAAGCTGGTAATGACGCGCGCACCGCTCCAAGCATATGGTAGCGGTGCGATTGAGTTTTGTCAAGCTGCATTACTTTTCGCGTACTTTCTACTCGTTCCACTTCAAAAACTTGAAATCACTCTCCTGTTCGAATAAAGAATCGTGCTCAATGATGAAAAACTAACAAACTACGAAAACTCTCCATAGCCTTAGTTGGAAGTTTCGAGACAAAATCATGATAAATTTTGTGTTCATAAAAGAGAAAGACAATATATTATAGAAGGCGGAGGAGTGTACAAGTAGACGACGGTTGGGGCTTTCGCAACAAGACTACGCTGTGCTAGAGCACATTATCCCTCTGTGTGCCCATGGAGAACGCCTATATCGGCATAAGGAAAGGATTATAACGGCATTTGTACTTGAAATGTTTATTGATCGCCGTTGGCAAGATGCCAGTGTTTAAACTTTATTGATACGACCTCTATTTAAGTAGTAAACTTGCCCTCCTCCTGAAATCACCTGATGAACAAATGGAGGGCCCTTTGTCGAATTTCTTGACGTGGCTGTATAAGGCTCCTTTCATAGTTGCGTCCGTGCGGACAGCGCGGACAGGGTGAAGAACGTCAACACGCGCTCTGGCGCACAATGCGTACTTGGCGCACAGTTGGCGCCTCCCGGTCCGCACGGACCGCAAACTATGAAAGGAGCCTTAACTTTTTTCACCAATGCACCATTCACCACCTCCACTTCCACATTTAGGGGATCAGGCTATCGCGACGCTGCCTCTTAATAAGAAACACTCCACAGCTTTGGAAAGTAAGCCTTTACACATGGCAGGGTACTGCATTATATACTTGCCATTAAGAAACTGTGAACCTTGAGGGCAGCGATCTCTACTTATTTTTTGTGAAGCTCGTCATCGTTGAAATTTTAATGTCCTTCTCCTGCCAATGAGGCTCTTAAGTAAATACTTTATTACGTTTCGTCGTTCCTCAAAGACAGTAAACCATTAATAAAGTATTTATCTATAAAACCTTGTTGGTAGAAGAAAGACTAACCCAGAGGCCGCACGCATAGTCGGTCGGACGACAGCAACGACCGCAAGTGTCGCATAAACCGCGGTTGCAAATGGAAGGCGACGCGGTCACCCAATGCAAACCCAGACAACACGTGACTGCGCGTGATCGTATTTCGAAAGTCCCACTGTAGTGTGGAATAGTAGCTGCGTATTGATCTGCGACACTTGCGGTCGTTGCTGTCGTCCGACAGCAGCGGTCGATACGCACCCAATGCTGTGCGACACTTGCGATCGTTGCTGTCGTCCGACCGACTATGCGTCCGGCTGGAGGCAGCAATTGCGATAGGTTGGTGCCGAAACTGTGAAAATCTCGAGGAATAGTGCTCCCACTCCGCCAGTTGATTTCTGGTGTGGGTATTGTGCGCTAAGGAAAAAAAAGAAAACGATAATGGCAACGATTTCATCTCAAGTACTGAGCTGTTATCATCGCTTACACATGTGCACTGGGCGTGTCTGAGAACCGGAGAGGCTTTTGAGGCACACTCGGCGCCTTATCACGCCGTCGTCGCACGTGTGGGAACCACAGAACCATGGTTCGTTTTTCCTGAACGGCCCTCTGAATACCAGAAAAGGGGTCCCTAGTTCGATTCCTCGTGGTGACAAATTTTTGCATTTCGAGTTGACGTTTCAAAATTCGCGCAAAATAGCATGAACATAATTAATTATTACCATATTCATAATTAGGACCGTCAGTAACCCTTACAAAAAGACTTTGATTAAAAAACTGGTGAAAAGGTGTGACACCAAAACGGCCCCACTGTGGTGTCACACCTTTTTCACCAGTTTTTTAATCAAAGTCTATTTGTAAGGGTTACTGACGGTCCTAATCATGAATATGGTACTAATTATTCATGCTAACTCCATTTTGCGCGAATTTTGAAACGTCAACTCGAAATGCAAAAATTTGTCACCACGAGGAATCGAACTAGGGACCCCTTTTCTGGTATTCAGAGGGCCGTTCAGGAAAAATGAACCATGGTTCTGTGGTTCCCGCATGTGCCCCTATATCATGCAAAAGACCGTTTTCAAAAAGCTTGGCACACCCTGAACGACCTCGTTAGAACGTTTTAAAAAGTTTGGCACACCCTGAACGACCTCGTTAGTACAAACGCCGTTTCCCTTTCCCAATAGTGTGCAAACGAATACACCGCCCATTCAAAACAGTACGCTTTTCTTATCAAGCCCACGTGCACGCACTCGATAAACAGAGCCGCCGTATACTTCATGCTCTGTTTAACAGTAGGTGTGGAGTGCCGATGAAATCTTTTTTCATTACAGATGAGGTATCGGGCAAGAGGCATCATCATAGGCT